GCGTCGCACAAAATTGTTGGACGCCCCACAATCGACTAGAGCTCGAAGGGACAACTTATTTGTCACTTCGAGTTTCAAGGTAATGAGTGAGATCTCATTACCTAGAGCAGCAACGCACAACGTCTGTGTGTTGGGAGCAACCTTCATCAAGAGGCCTGCAAATTCTCTTGACGTTGCTGGACCAGTAGGGTGCTCCGCACCTACTGATCCTGTCCGTTTTTTTACGGTCCATCCCGTTGTTGCGTCTTTGCACCAACAGCGGACCCTCGTCCCTGCCCCTTTCTCATGGGTGGACGGTCACTACGCCCAGTGTCGCGAGACACTGGACGAGGGGCACTACACTCGTAACCGTAGTGTCCTGTCTTTTGACATCTGTTGCATCTCTGCAACTTCTTGTAGCCTGTAGAGCGAGCCTTCTCGCTCTCTACATAACAGAGTTCCATCGGCTCTGGACCTCCGCTGTCATATCGTCTCGGTTGACGATATGATGTCGAGCTGGCGCGAGCCTGTCTCAGACTGAAGTCTTCCTGCTCCGCAATGGAAATGGCTTGTTCTAGTGAATCTAGTTCAAGCCGGAACAGGTGAGTCTTGACGGGACCATCCGCAAGACCCTGCATGAACACCGAAACCAACGTGTGTTCATCCACCGGATTGGAACTTATACAACTCGTGAGATGTCGTATATGTTGAGCGTAAGCGTGCACATCACGCTTACCCTGCTTGAGCTTCAAGAGTTCGGTTCGAGCTCTGAACTCAGCTCTAGGCGGCTCAAACGTTTGTCTGAGCCGCGACTTGAAGACTTCCAACGACCCAAACGCATATGGGTCGTGCAACTTGAGCCCCAGTGCCCAAGTATTGGCACGTCCTGCCAGATTTGACTGGGCAAATGCAACTTGCATATACCCGTCGTCGATGCGACGCGCCCTTATGGCGTCATCCAATTCGACGAACCATCGCAAGAGGGAGTCCTCTTCGACTCCCCCATACTTGGAGATGTTAATCTTCAAGGTCTCGGGTCGACGCGAATGCATCGACCCACCAGCAGCAGCCTGCTGCTGTCTCAACAGTTCAAACTGTTGAGCACCCTGTTCTCTCAACAACTCTGCTTGTTGAGAACCTTGTTGGTGAAGCAAGGCTACTTTCTCGCGTTCTGCGTCAAGTTCATTTTGAATGAACTTGGCGATAGTAGCATGTTGGGCATCTCTATTGAGAGCCTCTAGCATGACGCTAGCAGCATGGATGCCCATGGTCGAACCCATTCGTTCAACCGCATCCCATTCGACATCGCTCAAATGGGAGTAGCCGTCACGCGTAGCGTGAAAGCTTTGGTCATCTTCATCATCCAACATATTCATGTTGGATGTGAACGCGGTCCTTGGACGGACTACGAAGTGCTACCAGGTGTAACGGGGCACCCTGAAGCTTGTACTGGTGACAGTACAAGCTACTTATTATGATGACAGAATAAGGCGGTGCCTCGTAACTTCACGTACACTAGTACGTGCAGAGGAAGACGGTAAGAAGAAGCGAGTACTTGGTTAGAGTAAAAAGTAGAACTGTATAATAGTTAATGTCTGCAATAAATCACTATTTATCTTCATCTAACTATGTCTAAATACAAATGTGTAAATCAATTATCTGCTCACCACTCATTGCGTGCGTCTGTCGTGGCGCGTCTTCGTTGGTTGAGATAATGGCCTATATCAACCAATTAGGAACTACTCGTAAGTGCTGCAGAATATTTGTCCTTTTAGTAAAATTCTGAGAATATAACTCTTATAGTTATATTCTATTAACAATTTCTTATAAATTGTTATGTAACGATTCACCCCGTTACACTAGTCGTATGCCGGAATTTCTAAATTAAATTTATATCGGTGTGTATGTGTGTCTGCGTGTGTGGAGATACCTCTAGTGTACCTTACAGGCCGTTAGCTTGTCCCCTCCTTAGAGGTGTCACTATTTGATTAGGTCACTGCGATGTGTGTAATGTTCACAAACGCACCATTTCCAACACGTTAGTAGCTCGAAAGTGATCAGGAGCTGAGATAGGGTCTACAATCAAACGTTATACACGTAGGGGCGGCGGAAGTCTAGCACCTTTCACAAACTGTGAGAGTGAAGTCATTTGACCTAGATCACAAGATTTACTTAAATTGCATATTTTATGGTCTCGTTTCTCTCGGTTATAGATTAAGCTTTATCTACTTTCTCTCTATTTATTAGTTTATCATGTGACGTTACTGAGCAGGTCTCTTCCATATCACTTTTTTCATTTTCGTCTATTCAGAAATCAACAACGCCAACGAGCATCTTACTTGCACACAATCCGTCAGCACTCTTACTGATAAACACACATGCCACAATCCATTTCCTAGTCGCCCCCCCAAATAGGTACATGACTACATAGAACTTAATTCAGTTCTACGGACGACATTATCTACATCAAAGGTCGATCTCAGAGCTTGCTCTCCGATCTGAATAGAATCAAGTCAGACAATGTTATCGCAGTTTATAGGACTCTGATCGTTGTTTTACATCTGCCATGATATCTACCGATAATGCCGAGAACGACAGACGTGTGCACTGAGTGGTGAGCAGATACTGTAACGGGGTAGCCCGTTGCACGATGTTGACACCAAACGTTTTCAATTAGAATATTGTCAAGTTTGACAATATTTTACCGATATTATCCAGGATGGATATTATTGAAGGAATATTATCCCCTTTTCGGATAATATTCATGCGCGGCTCATTGATTATTTACTCTTAGACATATCAACCATAGATTGCCACCGTCGCTGCTAGACGCGCGCAATAAGTGGTGAGCAGGTTGTCGTCATACGACGACGTAGTTCAATATAGCTTGATAAAGATTAAAGTTAAATTGATAGATTAAATACATTAAATACAGTTCTCTTTTTACCCTTTACTCAGCTTAGTCGTTGAGTAGATTAGCTTCCTCTGCACGTACTAGTGTACGTGAAGTTTCGTGGCACCCCAAACAGAGGGTGCCCCGTTACACCTGGTAGCCCTTCGTAGTCCGTCCAACGACTACTTAGTGTCCGTCCAACATGAACATGTTGGACGTAGAAGACCACAGCTTTCACGTCACACGTGAAGGCTACTCGCATCTGAGTGATCAGAATGGGAGGTAGTCGGCCGCATGAGTGTGCTCATGGGCGAACCCGCCATCAGTGGCATGTTGGAGTCTCTAAACAGAGACCAGCAACATGCTGCTATCAACAAGTTCCTACAAGGGGAGCTTGCCGTCGAACGACGGAAGATAGCCTTGCTATAGCAGCAAGGCTCTCATCAGTCGATGGGCGGGCCGGCGCACATGCGTCGACCCGAAATCTTGAAGATAGACATCTCAAGGTACAAGGGAACCGACGAAGATTCCCATTTAAGATGGTTCGTCGAGTTAGACAACGCAATCAGGGCCCGTCACATCGAGGGTGACGAGATGCAAGTCACCTTCGCCCTGTCAAATTTGACGGGACGAGCAAAGACTTGGGCCTTAGGGATCAACCCTCACGACCCAAACGTGTTTGAGTCGTTCTAGATCTTAAATTCTCGGCTCAAAGAGACGTTTGAGCCGCCGAGAGCCGAGTGCAGAGCAAGTTCTGCACTCTTAAGACGAAAACAAGGTAAGCGTGACGTGCACGCTTACGCACAGCATCTGCGCTACCTTGCGAGTAGCGTTACAGGAAAAACTGTTGATGAGCACACGCCCATCAACAAGTTCATCCCCGGCCTTGTGGATAGGCCGGTGAAGACCTACATGTTCCAAGAGGATTTCCATGCGCTGGAAAGGGTGATAGCGTATGCGGAACAAGACGACTTCAGCCTGAGACAGTATCAGGCTAACTCGTCAAAATATCGTCCGACAAGACGACAGGAAACAGGAGGTCCCGATCCAATGGACCTCTGTTACATCGAGAGCGACAACTCTCGCTATCTGAGTCACAAGCGAAAGGCAAGATGTCATCGCTGTCAGAAGATTGGACACTACGCTCATGAGTGTAGTGTCCCAAGCACTGCGACACGTCCAAAGACAGGACGTGATGACCGCCGTTGGCCAAGGAAAGGTCCGAGGCGTGGGTCTGACCATGTCGCGAAGCCGCTACAGCAAGTCGGACCGCCAATAAACGGACAGGGTCAGTAGGGGCGAAGCACCTTGCTGATCCAGCAACGTCACGAGAATTTGCAGGACTCTTGACGAATATTTCTCCCAAAGCGCAGTCGCTGTGTGTTACTGCCCCTAGTGATGAGGATTCTATCATCACTTTGAAGTTTGAAGTGACTAGTGGAATGTCACTTCGCGCCTAGTTGACTGTGTGGCGTCGAACAGTATCATTCGACGTCAGTCGTTATAGGATAGCAGTCTCAACTATGTTGAGCGAGAGTTCCCTCCAACGAGGATGACGGTGTGCCTTGCTACAGGAGCCTCCGTAACAATCAACAAACGTGTAGTGGGGATCCACTACACGCTAGAAGGAAAGCAGCACGATGATGACTTTATCGTACTAGATTTGTATGACAAATTTGATGTCATCCTTGGTCTGCCATGGCTTAAAAAATACCAGCCATGGATCAGCTAGCAGCATCGATCCTTGAAGATGCCTGCCGTTTGTTTATCACATGGCCATCTGATGAACATCTTGGAGCATCCACAAGCGTGTGGATGTACTACGAGTGAGTGCGATGGCCTCACTTGTGGTACGGTCGTTAGTACGACTGCACAGCATCACAGTGTATAAGGCCACTGTACTGTAGAACCAGCTTCCGGCACCTGTGTAGAGACACAGGGTGCGCCGAAGGTTCACCACTCGAAGGTATCGAGTGAACTGGAACACGGATGCACGCCAAGAAGGGTGCATCCGAGAAGAAAGACTAGTGTTGTTCAGGATGAACAACACGTTGAAGAGAGATCGACTATCAGAGAGTCGACCGAAGAGGACGTCACTGTGGTAGTATACCCACAGTCAGTACACGTAATGGAAGAAAGTTCCAGCGTTCCTGAGAGTGATAATTTCCGAGCGAGTTATGTTGAGGGAATGGATCCCCAACCACCTGCGGATGTGTTTTCCCAGATAATTACCGAGACAGTGAATGTCTTGGTATTTGACGGATCGATTGTAGGCGCTTATACACTTGATCTGGTGACGCCCCTGAAGTCAGCTTCGGAGGTGGTCAAGTTGCCAACGCTAGAATCTAAAAGATTCTTGCGAGATCTGCGTAGTGACAAGATCAAGCCGATCTGCGTACTCGTCACAGAGGACGAGTACGTCGCCGATATTCGGTCGGCACAAGTGTTTGCTGAGAACGAACGGGTTCTCAGTAGCCCATAGATGGACGAGAGTGTCCTTGATTCTAAAACCCGGATTAAGCGATGCAAGCCTCAACCTTGGGAGTCTTTAAAGACAAATCCTTTGTATAAGGATTTGGTTAAATCCAGGGATGTATTTCCGGAGTCCGTGCCATGCGAGCTGCCCAAGGACAAAGGCAATCGGCATGAGATCGAACTGAAACACGGTTCGAAATACTGTGTCATGAAACAGGGGCCACTGTCTCGTGAACAGTTCACATCGATCGAGAAAAATTTTGCCGATCGTTTAGCGGCTAGTTATGATAGGAAATCAGCATCCCCACGCATCTCTCTAACCTTCTGTGTGCGAAAGGCCACAGGAAGGTGGCGGATAGTGCACGCGCTTAACAAACTGAACGCTGCAACGGTACCGGCTCGAACGTCGATCCCAAGAAAGGACATCATCATTGATTGTATGGCAAAGAGTATAATTTTTTCGTCCATGGATCTGATGGATGGATCCTATCAGATTCCCATGCGTAATCGGAACATCCCGCACACAGCAGTGAGCACCCCCAGTGGTATGCTCTGGAAGTGGATAGTGATGCCACAGGGGCTAAGTAATTCCCTCGCAACGTTCAAAAGATGTGTTACGAATCTGTTGCGATCGATGCGCGGCTTCGCATCGAGTTTCTATGACGATGTCTTCGTCCATAGCCGGGATATGGATGGAAAGACGGACGTGGAGGTTCACAGAATCCACGTACGAAAAGTTCTTACTCCAATGCGAGAGCATAAGTTGTTCGGGAACCTTAAGAAGTGTATATTCGCAGTGAACGAAATACCACTTCTTGGCTGCATCGTGGGTAAAAACGGTGTACGTCCTGATCCGGAAAAGATCAAGGAGACTAGCGACTGGCCTGTGCCAGTCGACGTCAAGGTACTTCGAAAGTTCCTTGGCTTGGCAGCGCATTTGCACAAATAGTCGCGCAACTATGCCGAGATGACAGTACATCTCTATCGTCTGCAAAAGAAAAACGAGAGGTGGTCATGGAGCGCTGAGTGTCAGCACTCTTTTGAAGGTATCAAGTAAAGCTTGGTGCAATCTCCTGTGTTGGCGATTGCGGACCAGGATATACCATTCCATGAGGTCTGTGACGCCAGCGATTTTGCAAACGGCTGTGCGTTAATGCAGTACGACTCAGACGGAAATGAGCGCATCGTCTTTTATCAATCGCGTCAGCTGCAAGCAGCTGAGCGTAATTACCCGGTGCATGACAAGGAACTACTTGCCATGAGATATGCACTGGACTAGTTTCGGGTAAACCTCTTAAAAGATAGGCCCTTCATCGTTTATACCGACCGGGCTTCGTTACGCACGGCCGTAAACAGTCCACACCTCTCGCAACGAATGGCGAGGTGGCTGTCTTTCTTCACAGGGTTCAACTTATCCGTCGAGTACAAAACAGGTGGACTTAATGTCGTCGCTGATGCTCTTTCGCGTCGACCCGATTTCGAGCCGACTGCTTAACACAACAGTAGGGTGATCCCACTGTAGCGACACTAACAGTGAGTGTTCTGTTGTCTAATCTGCTCGACGACGTGCGAAAAGCATATGCAGAAGATGAGTCTCTTCTGCGATTGATGGATTACGTATCCAATCCATGCAGTCAAGCTTTGAAAAGCTTTTTGTCTCAATACCGCTCCTTAACCGAACGGTATTCTGTTCGTGATAGACTGTTGTACTATACAGCAGTCGACGGCGACACACCTCATTTCGTCGTTCCCGCTCATAATAATTTGCGACTGTGCAACTCTTATGAGTGTCACGATGCCTTAACAAGTGGGCATCGCGTTAGGGAAAAGACTTACCTCATGGTGAGTCGTGACTTCTACTGGCCCCGAAAGTATGAGTTTGTGCGCAAATAAATTCACGCTTGCGAAGTTTGTCAACGGATGAAGCCTAGTCCTTCATCCCGCGCACCCTTGCAGCCTCTCCCTATCTCGGCAGAGTGTTGGCAGTCCGTATCAACGGACTTCGTCTTTAGGTTTCCCAAAGACGTTTACAGGAATACTGTAAACGTCTTTGGGAAACCTAAAGACGTATTCTTGTGTTTGTTGATCGGTTCAGCAAGATGGTACATCTTGTTGCTGTACCGGAGTCAATCATAGCCCAGGGCTGTGCGCGTGTATTCATCGATACTATCTTCCGACTTCACGGGTTGCCCCGTGAACTCGTGTCTGATCGGGACGACCGCTTCACAGCGGAGTTATGGCAATCCGTGTTCCGTTCACTTGGAACACGTTTGACGATGTCGACTTCTGACCATCCAGAAACAGATGGTCAGACGGAACGCGTCAACCGCGTCCTCGAAGATATACTTCGAGGGTATGTACACTCGTATAAGAGTTGGAGTGAGCTCTTGCCAATGGTTTAACTCGCCATCAACAACTCGGTGCATGCGTCGACAACGCATACACCGTTCTTCGTGAATGGCTTACGCCACCCACGTTTACCCGCCTTCGTAGAGTGTGACTCTTGTATAAGGGGGGTGGACTCGCTCGAACAAAAATCGATCTAGTTCTTGCTCATCGCACGTCGACACCATTGTCGACGTGATGATGGATGCCGATGTCAATGCGATCGATATCGATGATGATGATGACGAAGATGCTGGTATATTCAGCATCGACAATGACTATCACAGTGAGGACGATGACACCCTCACTGGTGAAGACAACGTTCTTTCAGCAGTGCACACGAAGCGCACTGCTGTTGACAAGGATGGGTCAGCAGAGGAATTTCTGCTGACTTGCGAAGCGGTTGTCCGCTTTGTTCAAGAATCTATTGCATATGCACTAGACAGACAGAAGAGAAATGCAGACAAACATGGAAGAGCAAATTTTCTTCATTTGATGAAAGAGACCTAGTTTTACTGTCGACAGTAAACTTACCGAAACACTCAGTGACAAACGTGGGCAGCAGTAAATTACTGCTCAATTATATCGGTCCATTTCGTGTGTTGCGCCGAATGGGCAACGCATACACGATTGAACTGCCCCATAAGATGCGTACGCATCCTACGTTTTACGTTGGTCGTCTCCGCCCGTACTATCAGTACGAGCCCGTTTCGAATTGCGAAGAACACCTCCGCGGTCAAGAGCCGAGACCACCTTCTCGTGGTCCCGTTTCAACGAGCCATTCTGGTCGACGATTGAAGCGACCTGCTCACGCAGCTCAGCGATATCTCGACGAGCTGCAGCCAGCTCATCACGAAGAGAACGAGTTGAACTTTCGTTGTTAAGTTGCGCGAACGCATAAAAGCACAATCTTCCAAACGATCGTGCGCTAAGGAATTGTAATTGTCCCTTACAAGATCATGGAGCTTATAACGACAAGTTCGTTCATGAGTCAGGTCATCTTGCAAATGTTCCGTTAGACGGTTCAGCTCTTGAACATCAACTTGATCCGACCCTCGAGCCGGATCAAATGTTCCCGCCGCCACCACATCTTTTTGTGGACTCAAGCGGTGGTCAACGCTTTCTGGTGAGGCGTATTTTGAGCCACCGCGACGTGAGTGGCGTCCAGACGGGTTACCTCGTCCGCTGGCGTGGCTATCCACCGGCCTGGGACAGCTGGGAGCCCCGTACCCAGCTGATTGGTGATGTCCTTGGTCCCGTCGAGCAGTGCGACGAGACCCACCCGCTGCGTTCGAAGAAGGGCCGTCGGAAAACGACCTCCCCGAACGCGAGTACAGAGATTGCAAAGTGTGAATCCCTTCAGCCATCTCAGAAGAGATGCAAGCCCTCCAGTAAGAATCATTAGGGAGGTAGGCCTTTCTAGGGGCACGGTTCGAGTTGTCCAATCAACCTAGACACGAAGCACCCACGAGAGACAGGGTAACCCTGCCTCTCTTGAAAGCCGGTGCAACTTGTATCGCGCCCCGACGGGGTTGCGTTTCTCAAACCTGATGCGAGCTGCATCAAGTGTGGCGAGCCAGGCCTCACGGCCAATACGCTCGATGTTATGGATGAGGGAATTACATCCCTGCACCAAAGCTTTGCCGTCCCGACCACGGCTACCATTGTACCACCGATGTTTGAGAACACATCGGTGACGAACTCTTCCTCAGCATAGATAGTTTCCGTGCTGGAATTAGGTGGGCGAATCTTTCTACAGTCGAACAACAGGATTTGATCTCGATCGGTAGTCATGCCGGCCAATGGGTCCAACTCTTTGGATGGCGGCATCCACGGAGACTCCACTTGAGGAGCGTGAAGCAGGGCATTTCGGTCCCTTGCCTCTTGATTGGTGCCAGCATGAGCACTGGCACCAGTGTTTCCCCGATCCCTTGAGTTACTTCGCTCGTGGTGATGCATAGGTGCATCACCACCATCTCCACGCGTCCTTTCGTTGGATGGACTTGCGTGAGGCGGAGACTCATCGGAGTAATCACTCGATCCGAAGATCTCGGTCACGATGCTGCCGCGCTGACCAGAGCCACTCAACCTGGCTCTTGCCTTGTCCGCCACGGGTGACCCGGAGGCGTGAGGAGTCGCCTTCGAGTAGGATGAATCATCCGACTGACCAGAATAGATGAGCTCTATCTCAGACTCGTCTGGATTACGACTCGTTGTACCCGCTGCAGAAGCAACGGATGTACCTGTCGCACGTGGTGACTCGCCACGTGGAGGATTCACGACAACAGGCGACGAACCGCATGCTGCTGAGGCGTGAGAGGCACTTTCAGCGGCTGCAAGCATGCGTGCAGCCGCAATTTTAGCTGCTGCAGTAGCAACTTGCACGATTTCGAAACCATGCGTTAGATTGGAAAATTAATGGAATCGACCAACAAGTGCTCCCTTTCCCAGAGTGATCTAACGGTGGTCACCCTGTCCCTATCAATTCTAATTCAATCAGCGGGTGATTGATGGATAGGGGGGTGATGTAACGGGGTGGCCCGTTACATAAAATTGACACCAAACGGTGTTAAAAGGAATGTTGTCAAGCATGACAATATCCTGCATTTATTATCCGAGACGGATAATTTTGAAGAAATGTTATTCCCTTTTGGAGAATATTCATTCGCTGCTCCAAAAATGGTTGACAAAAGACTTATCAACCATAGATCGCCACTAATCGCTGCTAGACGCGCGCAATGAGTGGTGAGCAGTTTTTTTCGTCATTAGACGATGTAGTTTAATATAGTTAGACAAAGATTAAAGTTATTTTGATAGCTTAATGATTTTATATACAGTCATCTTTTTATCTTTACTTGAACGAATCGTTTAAGTAGACTAGCTTCCTCTGCACGTACTAGTGTACGTAAAGTTTCGTGGCACCTCAACAAAGGGTGCCCGTTACTGATTAATTCCAGGACAAATTTGCAACGGGGTACATATTGTTTAGCTAACTGAATAGAACTTGCACTGCTAAAATACACGGGTTGTGCGTCCGACTGCCTCGTTAGACGTACTTGCAGAGAAAGATTGTTATACGGAATGAGAGTACTCGGTAAATTAAAAAATTATTTCGTATTAAGTTTCATTAATCCTTTTTATAAATCCCTATTTGACGACTTTTGAATATGCCTAAATAAAAGCATGTAGTGTATCTATCTGTGCACCACTCATTTAGTGTGTAACAAGGTTACACGGCGGTCATTGAACTAGTTATGTTATGTCCACACCAAGTCAAGATCGGTGGATCTGAGGGGTCCAGTATTAGAACCTTGTACTTACGATAATACCGCACCTTATCGTTAAAGGTAAGGGATATGACTTTTTCATAGGCTCGCAATGTAGAAGTCATTCCGACAGGGTTTACTGTTTTTATTACTGTAGTTAAAGAATAAATAAAGCTCATTTCCCCTTTTAAATCGTTGGACAAAAGTGCCAAGTAAAGGCGTAGTGTGTCGTTTTGAGAATTATCCTTGTAAAGGCGCTTACTCTTGCTTAACTAGTAGTGACTAGTTAGTGTGTGATTCTGAAAATCGTAATCTCTTTGGAACCGGGATTGTTAAGCTTGTATGCTTGAACGACTGTACGTAGTTTTTAGTTTGTTAACACTATGAGACTCTTTGAGTCAAAGACTTCCTCTGCCAAGGAGCGCTAAGTAACTCCGCTACAGTTGGTACCACTTGTAGTCAATCTACAACTGAATCTTCATCGACTTGATCCTCTGCGAGAATGGAGACGGCTATGAACATCTCTGAGGCCGAGCAGGTTATGTTTAAGGAAATCACGGTGTTGATCGGGCACGAGGAAGTGGTTCTTATAAAGTCGCAAGGCCCGGACGTCCTTCGTGGACGTATCGAAGCCTTATTGAACTTCGAGTCCACGTTTATCGGACATGTCCATGACAAGTTGACATCTGCCATACCCACTCGGTAGGTTCCAATGCCGGACACTTAGTCAAGGACTCGTCATCTGGTCTTAAGCGCTAAAAATTTAAAGGTTGAAGAGAAAAAAATATTCATTTTTGTGGGTTAGATAGATGAAGGCTTCCATCAGCTCGGTCTTACTGCGGTCAGAGCAGCAGAAAGTAGACCTGGCCTATCAGATTTAGGTGGCCGAGCTAGGGAGTGAGCGTTCACTTCTATCACCTCGATATGCGATTCTTTTCCAACTTGGAACATGCTGAAGCAGCAGTCATATCAAGTGTTTTCCCCGCTTAATCATCCATGTTGCGTGCGATCACGCTTCCTGTCAACCCGTTAGTGCAAAAAGGACTTAGTTGAATATGTTCAGTAGTTTCAAACTCTAATTGGTGCTATGCAGCTTGACCCTTTACCTGGAACGTCTTTGGTAATCATTTTCATAATGGTTCTTTGCACTGGCGTTGCCAGAACAGAAGTGTTCCGTGCCTAACTTTTAACATTTGGGGGTGCAGTGGACATAGCGTTGAATGCAGAGTTTAACTTTGAAGCGGCCCGTGATGGGACTCATGAGTTTCATTCGAACTCTTCTAGAAAATGCTCATCTTATGGATATTCAGAACCCATGGATCTTATTTTCGCTGAGAGAGACAAAGATGCTGAGCTCGTCGCGGTCGAACAGCGTTCAAGCATCCGTATATGTTCTACGTGCGGAAGCATTAACTACATTCGTCCCAATAATCATTTGAGAAGGACCAGACAGGCTCATTTGAGCAGACCTCCCGTTGCTAATTAACGAGTTGTTAAGGCGGGGGAAAACATCGAGTTTTAGCAGGCGCGGATGCCCTGCTGGGGAAGACTTAGGATCTATTGTACCTCTGGGAGGTAATGGAGAACGGGTCCTAGCCCCAAGTGGCTACGTGAGCAATGTCACGAAGCATGAGTACAAGCCAGGCTTGTTAGCTGCGAAAGCAACGGTGAAGGCTTTGATTAGCCATGGTCAATATTGATCGACTTAGAGCTTTGAATAGTTACTTCCAACGTTGTCCTTTGTAAGTAAGTCAGCAGCATGATGCGGCGATGGAAGCGCGAAAGAGTGAGACTATAACTGTTCGATTGGCGAAAGCTACACAAGTCACAATTTCCTGCATATTTAGGTGTTAAGTTTTTGGACTTTGACAGTGTCGTATGCAGTCTAGTCCTTGACTTGGATGAGAGGTACGATCTCATTCTTGGTATGGCTTGGCTAGAATCCCATGAGCCGTGGATCGATTGGAGGTCAAAGACCTCTGCTAGGAAACAGAAACGCTATTGGCGTGAGCCATGGAATGAGACAGTCAGTGTTCTGTACATCTGTATGAATGGAAAAGATGAGTTGGATGATGTCAAAAACATTAGTTGCAAGCCAAGATCGTTGACTGTAAGTGAAACGGCACGTACTCCGTCGAGTGATAATCGTTGTGACAATGAATCACTGAATGCTGAACGCATGTTGGCCTAGAGCCATCATGGGCTGAACTTATCTGGTGAGCGTGGAGTGGCACGTAAGTACCCACTGAGTCTTGTTAAGCGTGATTGCGACACATTAAATGTCAGTAAAGACGTTGCTGGCGGAACAACAGGTGATCAAGGGCGACGCCCATTTGATGAGCGTGGATTGGCACTTCAGTACCAACTGGACGGTGATATCACTGAAAGTGACTCATCACCAGATGTCGGTAATGACATCGGATCTGATATGGGCGAATTATGGTTGACGCAGCTCTTCACCTTGTGGATAGTGTATCCCCAGATATTGTTAATGACATTGGCTCTGATACTGAACAAATCAAGGCTAACGCACTTCTTCACGTTGGACGCGGTATAGTCTTGGGTGTCGATAATGACACAGGCTCTTGTACAGATCGATCTAAGGATAATAATGATGTCAACCTTGGGAACGAGAAAGTTTTAGTCTATTTGAGACATTCAGCTTCGTCACAGAGACGACAGAGACGCCGGATTGCTGTTATGCAACGCAAGGCGTCTGTTACGTCACTGAGTGATACCAATGAGCAGCTATACACACTCGTTGATGGAGTGACTGGAGACTTAAATGGGTCAGTAGGTCTTAAGATTTTACCCTCACTAATTTTTTTCTTCTAGAGCTAGACGGAATGTCTTTCGATGAGTTTACCCTGACCATGAAGTCAGATAACTTATCTGAAGTGGTGATCATAAAAACCAATATTGAGTTGAACTCGTCGTTACTTCTTGACGAAGCTGTCTTAAAGGGACAAAGGTGGCACTGAGTGCTCGAAGTGGGTCATCGATCTTGAAAGATCCTAAAGATCCGCTCAATACTTTGGTTAAGTAGTTCCATGATGTGGTGTGTCACGATCCATCTTGCACTCTGCCTCCTGGTCGAGGTGTACGTCATGAAATTGACCTGATTCATGAATCTAAAAACTTTGTGACACGACAATGGCCCTTATCAAAGGAGCACTGTTGCGTCACGATCCATCTTGCACTCTGCCTCCTGGTCGAGGTGTACGTCATGAAATTGACCTGATTCATGAATCTAAAAACTGTTTGACACGGCAATGGCCCTTACCAAAGGAGCATTGTTAAGTCATTGACGAGTTCTCTCGTGCTAAGCACGCGGCTGGCATATTGCCTGAGAGCAAGTCTCCGCACTCGACACCAAAATCTTGTGTCAGCAATTATTGGCAATTGGCGTATTGTGCATGCTCACGATAAGCTTAACACGGCCACTATACCGGCACAGACGTCTAATTCAAGAAAGGTTGCTCTTTAGACGCTGTGGTAAGTTGCACCATGTTCGGTGCACTCGACTTGGTCGATGCGTATTATCAATTTCTCATGAGATTGAGTACTTTTCCGCTCAAAGCGCTTAGTACAGGAGAGGGATGCTTTAGCACTGGTTTGTCATGCCCCAAGGGCTGTCCAATGCCCCGGGTACATTTAATCGTCTTGTGACGCAATTGTTCCAACATCACTAAGGCTATGAACATTGTTATTTTGATGAAATCTTAGTTGATAGCCGTGCAGACCATGATAGGTCATATTAAAGCAACCACATTGACCATTTAAAAGCAGTGCTCGAGTGCATGCGCACAAATTCTGCGTGCAAACACATCGAAATGCATTTTTGGTACAGAAGAAATGCCCTTTCTCGGGTGCTTCATTGGAAAGCGTGGCTTTAGAGCGGATTCCGCAAAGGTAAAGTCAATTGTAGTCTGGCCGGTTTCGTAAAAACATAAGGACTTGCGTAAACGGATCGGCCTTGCTAGATTATTGCACCAGTACAGTGCGAACTACGCTGACATGGCAAGGCTAGGAACCAATTCCTTCGAAAAGGATGAGTTTTGTGCTGAGACCCAGTCC